CGGCACCGCGTTCATCTCATGGACAGGACCCCACAGGATGAAGACCCGTTCGGCTGGGTGTGGACGGGACCGGTCCACACCACACCCCAATATAGCGTTAATAGGAAAAACTCATGGATGCGTCCCCTCCACGGTTTATTTTTGATCCCATGCTTCACAAGTCTCTCTAAAACCCTATTATTTATTTCACATTACCATTGGATCAAAACCCTATTTTTTATCCCATGCTTCAATTGTTTAAATGTTATTTTTAATATTTTTGTCAATAAAATATGAATTATTTTATTTAATTTTTAATTTTTTATAATTTTTAATGTTTGTATCAATAAACTAATATTTTTAAATATTTAAAATATATTTTTAATTTTTTAATTATTTTACTATTATTTTATAAAAAATTAATATTTATTAGTCAATATTAATTTATTGATGCATTTTTCAAAATATTTATTATATAAAATGCAAAAAATTATATATTTATGATAGATTGTGTATATCATTCATAAAATGTATATGAGATACATGGAATCAAAAAAGTGTGGTGTGTATTGGTCCACACCATGCTACAAAACGCCACCATGGGTGTGGGTTGGTCTAGTCCACACAGTTTGTCCACAGTTTAGAACAATTGGGGATTGTGGTGTGGTGTGGATTGGTCCCTACCACAGGGTGTGGTGTAGACCAATCTACACCTAACAATTTCTCATCTACACTACAAAACACCCCCTTAGTCGAATGGATTGACTTGTGACAACTATTTGGAAATCCCTAACCCTTAGTTGTATTCTAGGTATTTCAATTTATGACATAAGGTTCCATAGACTACATTTTTAGGTTAGGTTGATAGTATTAGGTATAAGAAGGGCTAGGACTAGGGGAGGGAGGGAGGGAGAGAGAGAGAGATATGTAAGTGATATAATAGGGGGAGAGTACGGGTGAGAGAATGTGATGACAAGAGAGACAAGTGTGAAAAGTGAAAAGATACATAGGGTCATATGCTTCATAAACGCCAATGTTTGTGAATATTGAATAAAAATTGAAAACGTGCAAATTTCAAATTTCAAAATATGGTAATGTGGACCCGCAAACCATTGATTGGGTCAAACAGTTTGATGGTACAACTATCTAGGTCAACGTTTTTTTTTTATTTTACTTTTTAATGGTTTTTTAATAAATAGTGGTCTATGGTATAACAAGATTCGAAGCCATGACTGATTATTGGTTCAAACGATCTAATCATTCGGCTCAATAGCCTATGTTTCAATTTCACTTACAACTTTATGTACACAAGAACCACCAAATCATAATAACAAGAGAAGCAATCCTAATTTGGTTGGCTTATTTATAAAAGCTCTCTTGGAGAGGCCCATTAGGTTTTGAATCTTGTAGGTCATGTATATTAGCCAATCTAACCAATTTGTACCTTCACTTTATTTTATACATGTTTGACATAGTATTTATAAAAAGAAACCTTGATTGAATTGGGTTTTTTATTCATTGTATTCCGGGTTTCATATTCATGATCTAAGTCAACGAATGAGAGTAAATGGAACATCTAAAGTATAATATAATGTATTTATGTATTTCTTTTCAACAAAACAAAATGGGAAAAGAGATCAATATTTGGTTTTTATAACTTTTTGCTTAAAAAATATTGTAATTTATCAAAAACAAAATAATAAAAAAAATATCATTTATTGGGTCTTATTTCATAATTGAGCCTTTTATTATTTAATTTCTTATTATTATAGATATGATAGGCCTAGATAAAGACTTTTGATCATATCCAACAAAAGATATAAAGAATAAAAAATGAAAGTGGTGAAAATTTTTGTGATAAAAAAGTATGTAAAGAGCTTACTTTATGTTTTAAGACAACTATCTAAACTATAAAGCATTATACCCCTTTCATAGGAACATAATAAATCATGAGAAGCACACCATGTAATATTACCAATACAAAGAATTAGGTACGGGTGTTCACGGGTTGCGTTGGGTTGGTTTCAGTGATTGTATTCAACCGACCCAACCTGGTTGGGTTGCATATTCACTAAATCGAAACTGACCCACAATAGTGTAAAATTGACTCAAACTTGAAGGTTTAGTTTGGGTTGGTTTGTCGGTTTAATCGATCGGTTTGAAGGTTCCCTTTGCTTCACAAAAAATATTAAGAGCTAACTAAGCCTCTTTGATGTTAGGTGGGGTGGGGGGGTCAAGGTGGTACATTACTTATTTGAGGCTTCTCCAAGATATGATGAAAATGAAGAAGAAAATGAGTCCAAGACTCTAACAGAAAATTTCTCTAAGTTTGGCAAGTCTAAATGCTTAAGAATATTTCTTGTAATGCTTGTCGATCCCAAAAAGGTAATAAATAAATTGTGAAATAAAATGTGAGTCTTATACTCTTATTTCAATTAGTTTTTGAAATTGACTCAAAGTATGACTTTTCCCCCATATCCTATGTTTCCTATTTGGTGTAAATTTTCTAACTCAAAAAAGAAAAACAATTCCAAGAAAAAACCAATTTCCCATTTAGGTAGTGTTTTTATATTACTTAAACTTAAAGCTAACTAGGATAGGAAAGGACTAGGGAGTAAGGACTATAGAGCAAGGCCAATAGCCATTTAGCCAAGAATGGAAACACTCTACCTTAGTTTATGCGGTACATGTTTGGGACTATGGAGTAAGGCCGAACCAAACTATCGGTTAAATTACTTACACAAAGTAAAACTGACTATTGATGTTGAAAAACCGACCAAATTGGGTTGGACTGGGCCAGGTTGGTCAGTTTGCAATTCAATATGAACACCCCTAGAATTGGGTCATGAAAAAAAATTATTTACACAACTAATGGTTTGAATCAAGGTTTAAAATATTGATACAGGGGCATATTGACCTGTATCTAAGATTGCCCACCTTTTTTCCTTTGAAACTGGTTTAGAGGTGTTGGTCTAAGGCTGGTTTACCCCCTGAACCAGGTCACACCCCGATACGACCCCTGTAGGGGCGTATCGTTAAGCCAACGGTATCAAAATTTTGAACATTGATTTTAATGAACAAAATATGTTAATACCTCAATTTCAATAGCCTTGAAATCCTCTTGTAAAACTGATTGTAAAGCAAAAATGCCATTTTGTAAAATAGAAAAGTGGCAATATTAAATGCTTGAATAAAACTAAATAGCATTAAACAACATGGATTTGGGTGCACACGATAAACCCTAAATCTTAGAGGTATCTTGCAAACATAAGTACATAGAGGATAGAAGAAGAAGGAGGAGGAGAAGAAATAAAGGAACAAAAAAGAAAAAAAATGAAGATCAAATAAGAGAAATGACATAAACCATACCTAATTCTCTATATTTGCTCAAAGTTTTCCTTTGCTCAATGTAAAAATGAGAGATAGGGCTTAACGACCACAAGCTTCGTTTACAACTTTTCAAATTTGTCCTATTTTGGGCTTTAATGATCTTTTTGGAGGTTGTGTCTTTCGGGCTTCTTCTCTTTTGGTTGATAAGTGGTAAAAGACCATTTTATCATCTTGTTAGCTTAGAAATTCCTAAAAGACTGTTTTTTACTTTTCCCAATACTTATAGCATTAGACACAAGCTATTATGCCCTTACACATCAAAACTAGGGATGCAAATGGATCGAATTGGGGTAAATTCGAATTCGATTCGATATAAAAATCAAATGATTCAAATTCAAATTCAAATCCGTTGAATTGTACATACATTGATTTGAATTCGATTCAGATCAGTTCATCGGATATCTGATATAGATCTGATTCGATTCAATTGAGTATTTTCGAATCGAATATTTAATTCAATTTGATTCAAATATCACCAATTTAAGTTGTAACCTATGCATTATCAACAATTAAACACACTTCTAAGCATGGATTTAACTTGTAAATTTTCAATAATTTAACATACACTTAACACAAATCAACACATTTAGCATTATCAACACAACCCAAAGCTCGTGTTGTACAGTGCTGCGGGCTTGGGCCGGGTAGGCTGTAAGTTGTGTCGTGGGTCTAGGCCAAAAGTCGAGCCTTGGGCGTGTGCCAAACCGGGTCAGACTGTTTTTTTGTTTTTTTGACATTTTCTATTTTTTTCTTTGCTATGTAAAACTAAAATATTCAACTTTCCTTTTGGAACTATTTGAAAAAATAAGAAGTCTAACAAAGAAATGAAAAAAAATAATTAGCCAAATAAGAAGTCAAAGAGACAGACTCAAAGTGAATACCAAATTGGAAGAAAAATATGAATTTTATTTCATTTAAATTGAAATGATACAAAGCACACAATGGTTGGATGAATGAAATATGAAAATTGGAAAATAGAATAAATTAATAAAATATAAAAATACAATATAGTTATAATATAGTTAAATAAAATTTACAATAATTTGAAAAAATGCTATACAACTACTGAGTATACAAAAAGTATTGACTTCATCCTTTTTTCCTATTGTTCTTGACTTTGATCATCTGCTTCAAGTGAAACATTAAGTGTAGTTCATGGTGGAGGATAAGGCTATTTATAGAAATTGAAAATAATTTAATTTCCTAAAATACCTTAAAAACTAGCAATTTTTAGTTGTTGGGAGGGGTATTTTAGTCATTATAAAGTTATTTATCACTTTACCCAAAATACCCCCAAACTAGTTGTTATATAGTTATTGGGGGGGATTTGTATCATTCTTTCACCCCAAAACCAAAATACATAAATACCCCCTATATAGTTGTTTATAGGTGTTAGGAGGGTGTTTCTGTAAAAAACCCTAAAAAACTGAAACTAATCGTATCATGCTATGCTAATCTGTCCCCGGAGACAGGCGTGGCCGCCTCCTATTGGGAGGGACAGAAAATTTTCTGTCTCCGGAGACAGGCGATGTGTGCTCGGACCACGCAAGTGGCCACATCACAAGTGACTATACCGCGGGGTACCCAATCATTACTCAAGCACAATAAGTCAAAGGAATATTGAATTCCGATTAACATAGCAACCCTAATCCGATGCGAAACCCTCATTCTTCACTTTCCTTCACTTCTTCCCTAGAAGCATCTCGTCTCCAACGCTTCCACTGAAACCCTTGCACCTTGATGCTCACGTAAGGTAAGCGATATGTCTCTAAATCTTCTTCAACTTCTTTTTTATTTTCTCTTAGGTTTAGAATTTTGAATCAAGATTGAAGCAGGTAGGTTTAGGACTTTTTTCTAGCTGAACTGGTCAGGAACTAGACCCGAAAATAGGGTTTTTACTTTTTTTGTCTGTAATCATACCAGATTTGGTGTAATTGTAGTCTCTTTCTTGATGTCCAAGCATCGCCTTGGTGCTAACTTATCTTGAGATGCTAAAATGCCGAACTATCTCCTGCAAACCTTGATTTGAAATTTTGAATCACTGGATTAGTTAATATTTATATGCTAAATCTATTAGGTTCATATCTGGAATTTCGAGTGTGGTTGTGTGCATCTGTATGCATGCCATGTATTGATTAGCTTCATTTTCTTTCCTTTGTTGGCCAAGGAATTTGTGTTTGGTGGTCTGTGGTCTTGGCTCAACAAGTGTTCGGTGAATCCGCTTCTTTGTTATCATGTCTCTTAGAATCTGATATTCTATCAGTATGGTATCGGGGTGCATCAGTGCGTCCATGTTGTTTTGAACTGTTTTTTTTTTTTTTTTTTTATTTTGATAAATGTTGTTTTGAACTGTTTTTGGTTAATATTTTACGGTCTCAGTATTGTTTGATTAATAACTTGAGGGTCTTGTTGGCAATCATGTATGCATATTGGGCCAAAATTGAAACAAAATTTGTTGGAAATTTTCAAGTTTGCTTGGAGGAAACAATATTTCTGACTTTTCCTGGAACTTTCTTTTTTTTTTTTTTATACATAGAAATTATATGCTTCTATTTTACATGATGAAATGATTCTTATTTTTTATTTATATCTTGTTTTATGACTGGAATTATATGATTTTGTGTAATTCTCTGCTTTTATGTGATTCTTGTTTTAAAGGCATGCCTTCAAATTGGTCTCCTAGTTACCAAACCACTGGCCCTAGGATTTGATGGTGAACTTGGGATATCTGTCTTTTGTGCAAATAAATAACAAATTTTTTTTTTTACAGACAGGGCCAAGGAAATGTAATGGACAGGGTGTTGGAGCTGAAGTTGCCCTGGAAATTGAATTTGAGATGTCTTTGCAGCATATTCTTTTATCTTTAGCACATACTAACATTTTTCTAACATTCCTAAAGAAATCCCTAATGCTTATTTTATTCCTGAAAATACGTTTTGTTCACCTCCAGGGGCCTTTTGACTAGCACTGTAAAATCTGGTTGCATTTCAAAATCTAGATGGTTTGGTTTGTAAACTGTAAAGATTTCAGTTATTATTTGTATGTGGATTCTAGAATTGGGCTGAATCATAGAATTGCTTGTAGAGTTTCACTTAGAATCCAAATCTGCCTTGGATTTTCATGTGAGTCCAATTATGAATAGAACAGATTCCGCAATGTTATCCAAATGGTCCTGTAGTCATTTAGATGCCCTTCCATTTTTTACTTCTTTTTGATAGGTGTTCTGTACAATGTGTGCATCTTTGATATGTAGCTGCAAAATATATTTTCTATTTTGTAATGAAGAACATGCTGCTTATGCTTTACTACCAGCAGAACCAGACCAGTACTGTTATTCTTTTTTGGTAGGGAACTGTTATTATTAAATTTTTAGTCATTATTGTTATTAGTTTAGATTCCCTTTGATGACCACATCAAGAACTCATTTTTTTTTGCTTTCTAATTCTTAATGTGCTTTTGTAATTGGAACAATCAGAGATGATATTAATTCTAAAATACTGTTTGTTTGTTCACAGATGATGCTATCTTACATTCCCTCTTTTTTTTTTCTTCCCCTCTTTTAGGAATTACAATTCAAGTAGTGAAAACATGTCTGAACCAGTTGAGTACCGTTGTTTCATTGGGGGTCTTTCATGGTCAACATCTGACAGGGGTTTGAAAGATGCATTTGAAAAGTTTGGCCATCTTGTTGAAGCAAAGGTAAATTGTTTGAGATATGTTAATACTGTTTCTTTTCCTTGTTTGTACAATATTCCTCCATTAAAGTCAGATTTTTAGTGGGGAATGCGGATGATATTCTTGTGCCCATTACCAATCTGCCCAAGTACCTGGTTAGGTCTTGGGTTGGCTGTCCCAAGTTGGTTTGGTTTGTGGTTGCTCTTTGGTTGGTCATTTTTTAGCCTAACCAAAGTGAGCCCATTTACCAAGGCTCAGTTTGGAAAGAGTACAGATACAAATATGTAACAGGAAAAATGCATACAAAATAATACAAAAATACAAGGTTTTGCATTCTACATATTGTATTTGTACTCTTTCCGTACTGAGCCTAAGTGAAAAAAGGTGAAACCAGAATGAAAAAAAAGGACACCATCTTTGCATCCTTTAGGTTTAAGGAACAACATTGAGTATTTTTATGATTCAACATGTTTTCACTTGCGTTATATAATGTTAGAAGGTGTGGTGTAGACCTTGTGGAGTGGTGGATGGGATTTGTTGAGCTGACTCTAGATAGTTGAGACTAGGTATATTGAGAATAGTTGAGTATACTTTTACACCTAGTGTTAGGAATACATCTAATTAAGTGCTTTTATTATCTTGTCCTATTATTTTTCTTTCATTCATGATTATATGGAATTCAACATCTGTTCATTGTTATTCCCAATCTTAGATTACCTGAGTGGGGCAAACAGTTTGAATTCTCCTTTGTTCTATTATAAGGAGATAATGTTCGGTTAATAAATGAGCTAATATATTTTCACATTACCTGGAGTAGGATTCTGTTTGACTTTACTCTTGTCCTTTAAACACCTTCAACTTGAACAAAATCACTTATTGATGCATTTGTTGGTTTCCTTTTACATGGCCAAATCATCATCATAAGTCAATGTTCCCTCATTTTTTCCTCGTTGGTACTGCCCCTAGTTCATTAAATCACATGGTGAAAAGAACTTTCTGCAACTTGTCATAATATTACACCAGCCATCCTCCGAAGTGCATTCTAGCTCCCATGTGTCATGACACCATAGGCTGGCTTCTTTTTCAATAAAAAGATGAGTGCTGAACTTGCATTTCTATCTTGTTTCCTAGCAGGTAGAATCAATAAAATTGTTCAAAGTCTGTTGACACAGATTGGAACTTATTATAATTATATGTGTAATGTATTAGACGGTTCTTGAATCTAGTGGTATATACACTTACAATTAGCTATTCCTTGTAGCATATGAGGAGTCACTGATGTTATCTGCTTTAGTTTAGGTGGTTGTGGACAGGTTTTCTGGTCGTTCTCGTGGATTTGGATTTGTCACTTTTGATGACAAGAAAGCAATGGAAGATGCAATAGAAGCTATGAACGGTATGGATCTGGATGGGCGAAATATTACAGTGGATAAAGCCCAGCCTCATCAAGGCTCTGGTAGAGATCGTGATGGGGACCGTGACCATGATCGTGGGTATGATCGTGACCGTGACCGTGGTCGTGATCGTGGCCGTAATCGTGACTTTGGTGGTGGACGTGGATCCAGTGGTGGGGAGTGTTTCAAATGTGGAAAGCCTGGGCACTTTGCCAGGGAGTGTCCATCTGGTGATGGGGCAAGAGGGGGCAGGTATGGTGGGGGCAATGATAGATACAGTGGCGGTGGTGGTGGTAACAGTCGCTATGGACCTGATCGTAATGGGGATCGTTACAGTGGACGCAACCGGGATGGTGGTGGTCGTGGGGGACCAGGAGGTGACCGATACAATCGTGACCGTTCTGGTCCATACGAGCGCCCTGGCCAAGGAGGCTTTCGTTCTTGAGAAAAGTTCTATTTTGTAGGTATGTAAATTCTACTGTTTTCTGCCAAACGTCAATTATTTTGGGTGTTGACTGTTGATCCAGTTAAATTGTGTGATATCACAGCTGAAGAACCAGTGAAGATCTGATAGGATAAGCAAAAGAGTTCAGAATACACCTTTTTGCGGGAGTCTTCCTCATACCTGGGTTGATCAATCTTAGCCGCTCTCACATTTGCAAGTGTGGAACTTGGCAGGAAAATGTGGTTGAAATGTTTTGAGTTCTGTTGGATGCTGAGTACAATGTTTTGATCAGATGGGGTCTTATCTTTCTTGACATACATCTCGAATTTGGTCTTATACTGTTTGAATGCCATTATTGCTGCTGGATTCTGGATGATTTGCTTGCATGGTTAATTTCAATTCTGGGTTCTCACTCTGGTAGTATGGATATCTGGAAGACTGATGGTGATAACTGCTCAGTTTGTTGGTATCTGATTCTGCTGAAACTTTTTTGAGGCTGGCTACTCTGAGGAGTCTGTTACTTCTCATCTGTGAGTAGAGGTGACATTAGAATAACTACCGTCCATTTTTAATTCTCTTCTCCAACACTTCCTTGGGAGGAGGAATCTGGGTAATCTTTACTCTTGTAGCCAATTTGTTTCATTATCCATTGAAACATTTTTAACCATGTTGACCTTTTGGCAGGCTACAATTTGGCCTTTTATGGTCTTTTTGGATGCATGCATGGGTTTCTTTGTCATAATCATGCGCTTATGAGACACGGCTTTTGCATTTTAAAATTGTGAAAGCTTTTGGGCAAGATCAACAAGCTCTCTGCAATTTTAACAAGCCACAGTAGTCTCAAGCGTTGGCGCATTGATGGAAGGAGTTTCATTGTTCATAATCATGCTCCAGCTTGTTTGCAAGCTTTACAAAGAGGTTCAGGAACCGTTGGTCATTGGTCTTATCATGGTTCTTTTTTGTTAGTATTGCCTTTCCTGGGAGGAATATTGATGTTGCTCATATCGTTCCAAATACCTTTATGAGATTTTATGCCTTCAACCTGAGAAGTCCAGACCAGAGGCACTCTCATGTCCAAGTTACAGTTCTAATGTCCTTTCCATTCACTACGAGGATTGACCAGAGGCACTGTTTCTCATGTCCAAGTTACAGTTCTAATGTCCTTTCTCAGTACGAGGATTGAATTGATAATTCCACTTCCCATATGTTTCTGAAAAGGCGAAGTGCCTTCTTGGAGGGCAAAAAACTTGTTCAAGATAAATGCTGGGCGGGAGTTAATAGATTTTCGTGTGCAGGAAAAGTCTTCTCTGGCACAAAATACAAATCTTGCTCTCCATTGGGCTTCTTTTTTTTCATTTTTTATTTTATTTCTTTCACATCTTAAACTTCCTTTTTCTCCTTACCCGTATAAGACGATTGTATTGGGTTTGGGAATTATGCTGTTCGAGTGTCGGAGATGTTTTATTCTTGCCTTTTTTTATTGGTAGACATTGTTCTTGCCTGTTGTCCTCAGTATTCCCATCAATATGTTTCTTCTGCTCTGGAATATCATTTATTCCATGACTAAGGTTCTACTTAGCATTTGTGCTTTTTTTCATGGAATGTTACTTGGGCATCAATCGAGAAACCCATGATTTGATTTGAAACGGTAATGAAACATAATCGTGTTTTCGGCCCGTAGCTTTTATCTGTGCTTACATTGATTCATGGTTCTTAATAATCTTTTGGTTATGTTTTCCTTTGATGGGGCTCATAATCTTTAATTGTCTCTTTTTCTTTTTCCTTGCCTTCTCTCTGTTTTTTTTTTTTTTTGATCCAGGTGTGCTTGTGCATCATGTTGTTATGGGTATTAGTTGTCCAATTTGGTGCTGATCCTGATCCACTGATTTTGCTGTAATAATGTTTGATAAATGGTTCCATGGTTGCTATACATGTAGGTTGATTCTACTCATCTTTAGCCTTGGTTTCTAAAAGATCGACTGATTTCTTTTTCCCATGGAGGCAGCTCACTTTTAAGCCTAAAGGTTCGAGTGGTTTTTGGTTTTTGAAAATCTATGGTTTCAATCAAAGTATCTAGCACAACATAACTTGGTCCTGTAAATTGATTCATGTTGGTTTTTGGTAATGAACCCTTAAATGCTCCCTAAAGTGATGGTTACGTATTTACATCTGAGGGGCAGATCCATGATTAGACAAATCTTAGGAGGGTTTTGGCTTTTATTGAGCTGCTTTGAAGAAGCTACTTAAAGTAAGCTTCAACAGAGAGGCTTTCATGACTGAACAATGTCCGGGTTCTTCACCAAACAAAGTATGTGGGGGTCCACCTTCCAAAGCCAGAAGCCACTCTGTGAAGGCCCCCCCCCCAAATGTGCACAAAGATGTTTTGGACCTTTTGGTGTATAATAAAACGCAGTAATTTAATGTACTTTTAAACACGTGAGTACCTCTGGACACCACATAATATATCCGAAAGTGGAAATTCCCTCTTTAAATAGTGATGTAAATAAGCGTTTGAAGTGAAGCCTGTTCAAGTGTCCAACCAAACATGATTTTGGACTTTTGGTATAGTTTATAGCGCGCTTATATGGAATGTAAACAGGAATGCAACACCATGAAATTCATCTGTAGAAAAAAAAACATATAGTGCGGATGAACCCACACTAATTTACTTTAGGTAGAAATTCATCCATAGAAAAAACAATTTATTTAATTTTATAAAGCTATTTTAATATTCATTGTTTTATATTTAAGACTTGAGAAATAACAAAAAATGCTGAACAATGGTTATTTTATCTTATTAAGTTCTCTTACAAGAACATCACAAAGAGATTCTTGATACGTAGTTGAGATGGTTACCGCTTACTACAGCTGAGATGCTGTAGGCTCTTAATGGTATGGCCAGTTGACTTCACTTAATGGTGTACACCCTGTTCTGTTAGCAGATTCACTAACCTTTGTGCTCCAACCAACTAGATAATGTAAGCAAAACCAAGTTTGAAGAATGTTATGGAAGACAAGGAGAAAGATGAAGCCTAATGGGAAGCTGTCTGTGCATGCAGAAGATTTTGAAACCCTCAGATTTATGAAAGAGGTGATTGATTCATGCAACCAGAAATGCATTAATCCATTTTTCAGGTTTCAATCTGAGTGGTTGAAACTGGAAAGAGAAATCTGTCATCATGACTGCTAGTGATAAATCTAATTAAAACTAGGCCATTTTTATTGGATAATCAGACATTACAAGAAATGGCTAGTCTTTTGGGATGATGGACGTGGTTATCAGTCAATTCAAATAACTACCTTAATCCCACTCTTAGTCTAAACCAATGTGGAATGCTCAAATTTTGTAACTTCCTTTATCAATCTTAACTGGAACATAGTAGTAGTCAATCGTTCTCATGTGTTGAAAATCATTCAGGTTTTATTCTCTCGACTTGTCTTGAACGTAGGCATCACAAGTGGGCTGGGGTGGGAGGTGTCAAGTCATTCTCATTCTTGTTGTTGTAGGTATCGTCGTTCCTTTCTCTTCTGTCTTCCAGATCATTTCTCTCTTTTTCTACGTCCATGGATTCGAATGCTGCTTTTTCAAACCTTGGGAGGACCCCCCATGACACCTGCACTTATTCTGGTTGAGCTGTTGCTTTTGGTTTGCTCTTTGGTGATGGGTTGATTGGTTAGGTCATAGGTGCTTGCTTCCTCGGATTCTTATGGCACCAGTACATTTTGGCCCAGTCTGAGATTCCCGAGTCTGAGGACGCATCAGGCCCACCATTCAGCATCTTGATTTCAAGGCTGTCCATTCAACTTGAAGGCAAACCTTGCAGTTTAAGGGCCCGTTTGGGAGGGCATAACCTTGACGGAGTTGCTTTCACCGAGTCACCTTGAAGTAGCTATTTCACTGGAAAGTCGATTTTTTCACTGATGAAAGTGTGTTTGGGTCTTTCAGGTTTTTCACCAAACCTAATTTCTAGGTTTTCTCACATTGGGCCCACCTTGCAAAGCCAGAAACTGCTGTTTGAAACAGTGTTTTCGAATCATCGTTGACCCGGATGGTTGGACTGTTCGATTCAGGAACCGTCCAGGCAACTGGTTCCATTTCACCCTTAACGAAGTCCTTGGCCAAGAACCGTTGATTTGGTCAGCGGGTCGCTGACCAGGGCGATCAAACCATCGATCCATTCGACTCGTTCAATGGTTTTTGGCCTTTTTTTATTTTAATTTTTTTTTTATGTTAGAACTGACTGTCCGTTCAAACCACTGACCCGGAAACCAGTGGCCAAAATGGTTCCAGTTTTGGATCGGTAACCTTGGTGTGAAAGCCTTCCCAAATGGGAACTAAGACTTTAGTTTTTAAGTACCCTTTGGCATAGTAATTACAAAAGAACTAATTTGTCATTTAGCTCTAATCCAGCTGATGGGTTTCTCCTTGTAAATGTTATAACTTTTTAATAACTTAGCAAATTTCACTTAAAATCCATAATCCAAACATAGCCCACATTAATCTAATACAAAACTTTGGAAATATATAAAGCAGAAAAGAGCTGTCTTTGTCTTCACCACCAAAAGTGTTTTGGTTCCACTGCTTTTTTTCTTTAGGAATGAAAAGAGATTCATAGCCCAACAAGGGCTCCACATGTTCCTCCACACCAAACTCTGTGCATGTGGCTGGTCTCTTAACTGTGAAACATCAAACTGTTAAAGGAATTAGCCAATTCCACGAGCTCCATTTCCAGACTTGAGTGAAATTCAACATAATGGGGATTTGAAGTGTTCCGGCTGTACCTTTTTCTTTCTGCAGAATCAGGAATTCCTAGCTAGGGGATGCTTGAATGTGGACTAGCAATTCCATTTCCACCTCCCACAATAAGGACCAGATAGATCATTTGAATATAGTATCTCCACAGAAAACAAGAATCTATCCATCATCGGAATATGTATTAGACACGCATGCTTAGTCTGGGAATTTGAAGAGAGAATCCAATATCTTGGATTTCCACCAAATTGCACGCACGAACTTGCTCAGTGTTCAATCCAATTTGGTCTTCTACATATTTATTTTACTACCCAGAAGAGATAATTGATATCTTTGTTTGTTCAATCAAAGCAAATCATTCATCCATCCGTGCAAATTCCCTTTAATTAAGAATACAACTCAAATTGTAAATGCAAATTACGCAAAGGACATCCATCGTCTGGGAATTTGAAGGGAGAATCCTATCTTGGATTTTTACCAAATTCCACCAATGAACTTGCCCTGCATTCAGTCTCAACTACAGGGACACAATCCAGAGGATATCTTTGTTTGTTCAATCAAAGCAAATCATCCATCCATCCGTGCAACTTCATTAATTAAGAATACAACTCAAGTTGTAAATGCAAATTACACAGAAGACTTCCATGGTCTGGGAATTTGAAGAGAGAATCCCATCTGGGATTCTGATCAAATTCTACAAATGAATTTGGCCTCCATTCAGTTTGAATTACAGAGACACAATCCAGAGGATATCTTCCTTTGTTCAATCAAAGCAAATAGTTCTTCCACCAGTCCATGCTTGCATGTTAATCAATACAAGTGAATTGCTGGCAAACCCCAAACATGAATTTTCAAGCCACCAACCTTGTTAATTAATCAATCAATTCCACTAATGGATTAACTAATGTAGTCAAACCTATACTCATGAGATCTTCCTTGGGAAGCGTATTGGACCAAATTGGATTGTTGGAACATAATAAAAAATTGGTGCATCAAATAATTCAATTTTAGTTTGAATACACCATTTGAACTTAATTAGCATTTCTTTTCCTTCTTTAGTAGATCGGATCATTGGGTTGATGGGGTAGGGCTAACTGGCTGACCCTTTTCCTTTTCAAATTTGAGAATATTGCCAAAGTAGCTTTGCTTCAGTCCTTCAGGCCCAGCCCATCTCATACTTTGGACAAACAACTTTTGGGGCCTAGTAGCCTCCCATTACTGAACTTTATGAGCCCAAGTAATGTTATCTTGTAGCTCTTCCTCTCTTGTCCAAATTCAATAATGTAACAGAAATGGACTAAACTTCTACCTTCAGTTCTAGCATTTGCCAATTGCCACCAAACAAATATTGTTCTGATATCTGAGAAATGTCTTGTCAACAAGAAATGAACAGGTGGGTCCTCCCCCTCATTGATGCTAGAATCCATCAAAACTCAAACTCAAAAGATAAACGGGGAAGTACAGATACATACGATGCAGAATTCTGAATTCCAGCCTTCTCCCCCCTATAAACCACATCCTGTCCGTAAATTTGTCAGATTGCATTCCCCCTGTACTTTGGGGCTATAAAATTCTGATCTGTGCTGATTAATCATTCTTCCAAAGATAAAAGCCTAATCAACCTCCTTGAAGCCCAAATGCACAAGCCCATCATCACACGTGGTGGGTAGGCCATACCTAGTAGTCTAGTACTAACCAGCAATCTGCAATCCTTACATACACTACTGTTCAATCGGACCACTGACAAGTGACAACAAACAATAATATAATAATAATGAAAGAAAAGATCCACCATTCTTCTCCATTGCCATCACCAATCCAACCCACTTTAAAAATTCTGTGACAGCTCAAGGCTCAAAGCCCTTGTTCCTGAGTGCATTCCTTTTGGGGAGAAGAGGATAAAGGAAGCAGAAATAAAGAAAGCTAATTTCATGGCCAATGGAGACCAGTTTAGTGGGAGATAGCTATTCTTAATTCTGCCCTCTTAGATTTATTCTGCAATTCTATTATTTTAAGAATACTGAATTGGATTAAATTCCTAAACCAACGATTCATGTCTGATGATACAATTCTTTAATGAACAACTGATCAGATTACGCGGAAAACAAAGTGCTTCTGTCCCCTTCTCTCCCTCAATCTCGTGGTTTTCTTCCCTTTCCTCCAAGACCGTGCTCCCTCTTTTTCTGAGACTTTCTTTTATTTCATTCCGGGATCGACATAGTCAACGATCTCTCGTCGTTCAATCTTTCTGGAATCACCAATGGGACCATTGGGCCAATTTACAGAAACCCCATGAGGAATTACAGGCAACAAATATTACAACAACTGCGGCAACAAATATTACAACAACTGCGGCAACTTGTCTCTCTGGCTATCTCCATTTCTTCTACCCAGAGTTTTCACACGATCCGAAAACAAAGACTAGAAATGGAAATTGAATTAGAATTCAGGAATCTATTTGCCCACTTAAGAAAAACACGTACTTGATTCAAATACAAACAAAGGGAAATAATTTCCCGAATAAGGAATTCAACTATTGAAGCTATTCTTCTAAGAATGCGAGAGAGAGAGAGAGAGAGAGAGAATTCTGACAAATGGCGACAATATTGGAGAAAACCAATTTCTATTCAGGGAAAAAAAATGAAATTTGATCCATCTGGGATACCCAATTCGAGAATCCATTTCTGAGAAAATGAATTCGAGGTTTAGTTCTGAAACCCATTTTGCTCAATCTAGTGTAATTGTTGAAAAAGGAAAAAAAAAGAGTTTTATGTGCAGTATAAAAGAAGTAGAAGAAAGAAAAAAGAACAATTTGCTGCATAAAATTGAATCAATTCTTTGTATTTGTTAACAAAATTTCCTTTTGATTTACAGAGAATCTTGTTTTGTTTCTTTCCTCTAATTAGTGATTGATTTTGTTTTTGTTTTTTTCTCGTGGAATAATAGTCAGAAAGGCATGATATGTTTGGTTTTAGTATCATAGCTCGAAAGACACGATTTTGAGTTAACTCGAAAGATCTTGAGCAGGTCACCGGCCATCTGCCTGACTGACGGCGAACAATTGCTCTGCATCAACAGCAGTATCTTCGTCAACCCATTGCTTTTCGTTACCGCCTCCTGCGCCTTCTGGTCTCTGAACAGATGGCAGACGCCCCAGAGGATCATCACCGCGTGCTCCGTCGCCGTGTTCGATACTTTAAGCATTCTCTGTACAATCGTCGCTATACACGTTGGGTCCTCGCATAACGCCGTACGGCCCTCCGGACACGTCGAAACCATCTCCAGTAGCTTCAGAACTTTCTCGGCAAGAGAAACGCCGGTGTCTGAATGGGCTAACAACTTCGAGAGTACCTGAACGATTCCGAGCCGGACAAGCTGTAATCTGACTCGCCTAGGCATCGATACGGTGATCAAGCAAGATAATCCGGCCTCGATCGCAATCGAGTCCACCTCGGAAGTCATTAGACGGATTATCTCGGGCAACAACCCTTCCTTCTCGGCGATTAGAAGCTTGGATTCACCGGTAACGGCGATTGCCTCCAAAACCCTAGCGGACCCGATCCTCGAATCCAAGCTTCCTTTCTTTAAAACCAGAAGAATCGATGACAGAAAATATTTATTCCCTTTCAACGTTAATCTCATGAGTTGTTCTTTATCAGCGTAATCCATCAGAATGAGATCCAAAATCCTAACTACGTGTTCGAAGAGTTCAATCCCTACTACCTCTTCTCCACCATCGGCATTGCTTCCAAGAACACCGACGATGATCCGAACGAAACCGTCCATCTTCGCGAGAAAGGCTCGGTTCTCATTGGACTGCTTGGCGAAATCGACAAGCTTGGAGAAACAATCGAGACGGTTTTCGGTGTTGTCGTCGATGTTCTTGATCAAGATTCTAGCTTGCTCTTGAGTCAAAAGAGGGGAGGTCGCCGGAGAGGCGTCGGAGGAAGAGGAGGTGGTATTGGGGAGGTTGTCGGACCAGATCTGGATGAGACGGTGGAGGGTGTGGTTGGGAACAAAGTCCTTGCTCTGGAGGACTTGCATGGTGGCGGGACAAGTATTGTTGCCGCTGTCGAGCCATTTCTGGATGCTGGAGCGGTCGTAGGTAACGCCGGTGGATAGGCTTACCGGAGATTTCATGACGTCGAGGGAAATGGGGCATTTGAAGAAGCTCGGAACGGTGATAAACAGATCGTTCTTCACCATCTTTTCCTTCTTCTTCGATGGATCAAATTTTCTTCTCTTTTGAGATCGATTTTGAAAGCTAAGCGAGAGAGAGAGAGAGAGAGAGAGAGCGAGCGAGCGAGAAACGTAGAAGTGGGAGACGGGGGAGCGTGGCTTTTGAAGCTGGGGGAGAGAACGGGTCAAAATGTGAAGAAACGGCGTCACTTGACTCTAATAGTCTAATAGAGAGAGGGTCAGGAGAGAGAGAGAGTGGTTAACGTTATTAATTATTATTTATTTTCCTCTTAAGCAAGTCTTTGGTCAATGCGAGCGTGAAGGAGGAAACGTAGATGAGGGGGCACTGAGAAGACCGTTGAAATTCTCTCTCAAGAGAGAGAAGGAGAGAGAGAGCGGACCACCGGCGGGGTCGGTTGGTCGGTCGATTTCTATCATGAGCTGCGAAGACCGAGCAGGGTTTCTTTTTCGGCTTGCAGATGATCCATCAACCCAAAAGAGGTATTCGGTCTGAAATGGACCGGGTGAATCAGAGGATCCGGAAACAAGGGCAAGCAATAACCAAAATTGGGCATCTGGTTCAACTGCTAGACCCGCATTAGAAAAAATAGTAAATAATTCTAAATTATGATTTTAAAATTATTTAACATCAAAATTCAACCATGTTATAACAACTACTGAACTACTAACGCATATTTAGTATGAAGTTGACCGAGTCAAATTATTTTAGAAACAAGAATCTGGAAAATCGTTTTAGTTACGATTCCCGGCTCACACGATCCAAATCCGGTGACAGTCTGAAAAGCGGTCGTATCGTATGGGCCATGGGGGAATGGATATTGGGCTTGGATAAACAAGATGAAGCCACGTCAGGCTGGTGTGTTCTACATCCTAGTCTTGATTTCCAAAGTCCAAACAGCTGGCTTGAATTCTTACCCAATGGCTGTTGCTGTTGCTGTTGCTGTCGCCGATCAGGGAATAGAGAATCACCATATTTCTTATTCAAACTATACGCGGCATTCAGCATTCTATTACCAAATCACTGAAACACCCTCGACAACTTCGTGTAATTACCATAATCCTTTGCAGCATTGCAGGATTGTAGATTTGTAGTGAATGAATGATAATCTAAAATCCATATAACAGATTTTAGATTTATGATCATCTAACAATTAGGAAGAAAAGAAAAGAAACAACTTAATTGATTTGATTTATACAAAAAATTAATAAAAGAAAATAAATCCATTAGAAAAAGAAAAGATAAAATTATCAAACCTCCGATGCTAGACTTAGAATAATAAGAAAAAAATCTCACTTAATCTGAGAAACTAAGAACTTGATTGTCCTTTTTTTGAATCGAATTAAAGACCGGAGAAACTAATATAACTTGATTTGTCCTTTTGTTTTTTTTTTTACTATTTTTTATTGGGCATGTGATTATTAAAGTGATTCTTCCATATATTTTGAACTATAAAAAAATGTATAATATATATTATACCTTTTTTTGCCTCATTCTAACAAAAGCTTAAGCCTCACAACATACAAAGGTATGACACAAGGCTTAAGCCTTTAAAAACAATGCATGGTATTTTAATTTAATGTTTATGAACTACATGAAACTTGATGCAGCGTAATCTGGACACTCCTACCTGGCGGACGCTTGGCTCCTAATTGACGACGAACGGTACCTGAGAAGAGGAAGGTGAGGATTCCTGGGGAGCTCGCCCAGTGGGAATACTCTGATGCTTAAGTTAGAACACTCGAGAGAGCTGTAAAGGATGCAAAGAGAGCTAAGAGCGCAGATAGCGCTAGATCAGTAAAATTTCAGATACCTTCGCCCCTTCGACCCTAGGGCCTTTAAATGCAGACGTTCTTGTCAAATCGGGTGTAACCGCCACTGGCCCTCTGTGCAGCCATTATTTTCCAAGTATGCGCAGGTAACTGTTGCAGAGTATTGCCCAATCGGATGAGAGACACGACTCAGAAAGGACAGACACGCCACCACCTGTCGAGAGACGTGGGTGCAGTCTGCTGGGCTGGCAGGGACTGCACCGTCAGTCAGGAGACGTGGTGCAGTCTGACGGGTACGGTCTCGTCAGATAAGAAGCTTCCTAAGAACGCCGGGTCGCTTAACAGCGAGCTACCCCATAGTGAGCTTCCCTGTAGCGAGCTATCCCATAGAAAGCTGCCTTGTAGCGAGCTTCTAGATGTGTCCCGAGGTGATTTCGCCTGAGGTCGCCTTTGGGGCAGTCTTCTTGCCTAAGTATTGGAGTATTCCCTTTCCACATACCGGGGTCCTTGAGCTCGCACTGTAGTGAGCTGTCCTGCGAGGACCTTAACGAGCTCGTTACTCAGTCATAGACAGGCTGTCATGCTGAGCTGTTGCTTACGTTGAATCACGTCCACGTGTTGCCTTCTTAGGAGGTTGGGTCAAATCACCCTCCATCAATTGCCCCCCACTCCTTGGGCTAAGGATTCTACCATAGCGTGAGAAGTTCATGGAGTGTGACGGGTGGATTTGACTCAAAATTCAAACTTGATTGACCGATCGCATTAAATACACATGCGGATATCAAGCAATTTTTGGACTTTTTGAATGCCAAAAAGCGTGCAAAAACGACTCTCACCTCCGAAAGTCGTGCAGCCGGCATTACCTTAATCATCGAAGACGTGCAACCAATCACATTTCGGTTTCAAAAGACGTGCGGCCAGCTTGACTACGAACTGTCAGATTCGCCTTGATCTAAGCCGCCGATTTGTGGGCACAATGGCTATAAATGGGAGGGCCCCAGGCCTCGTTTACTTTACGTCAACTTGCCTTGCCTTCGGATCCTGAAGTCGTGCCTTCACCTAGCAACTCGAGCTCTTCTCCTGTTCATACCGTCTTTTCGGTTCAACTTTTTCCTAGTGAGTCTTATCGCTTTGTTAGCAATGTCAGGGTACCCGTACAATGTCTTTCCCCAGGGTGGTAACCGAGATGATGCCCCTTCGAGCTCAGGGAGAGCTTGGGGGTAGGCTCCGGAGGCTCGGGAGGCCTTTGACGAAATGGCTTCCACCTCCCGGGGTAGGGAGCCAGACAGCTTTGGTCCTTCCTCCATGTCGATGGAGAGACTCAGGACCTTGGTCCTTCAATTCAACCTTCCTAGAAACCTCATCTATAGTCTCCCATCCGGTGACTATCCTTGGGAACACGGTCACAATGAGATCGTGATCTTCCAGGAACAACTCATCACTGGCCTTCATCTTCCTCTGCATTCTCTAATAGTGGAGGTTTTAAACCACTTTAACGTTACTATAGACCAGCTTCACCCCAACTCAATCCAAAATGTAGTTGGGACAATTTCTTTATTTTATGAATACTGTCTTCCTCTTGACCTCGACATCTTCTCCACCATCATTTCTATCAAGAATGCTTCCCCCAGAGCACCTCCAGAAAGGCGTTCCTATTATTTTTCTCTCCATCCCGGCTTCAAGCTCCTGCACGAGCAGCCGAACAGGATGCCGGCCTGGAAGCGGAACTATTTTGTAGTTTGCAACCCCGAAGGGTGGCCCTTCCCAACCCACTGGAGGGCCGCCATCCAGGATTCGGGTGTTGACTTGGATCCAAAAGTTCGGGAAATGCTGCAATCCTGGGCAGCGGTTGGCTTCCATTGGTCGGACTACTTGACCGAGGACAAGCTCGCGCAGGCCGACCTGATCCACGGTAGGTTGCCTTTTAGGTCGTGCAATGCTTTGTGAATTCTTTTTTTTGCTGGACTAATGCCTTGTGATTTTTGGCAGCCAACATGTTTGGTGTAGATGCGCGTCGCCTTCTGTCAAGCAACCAAAAGCGTAGGGCGAAGAGGTCGCGCCCTGACCAAGCTTCCATTTCCGGGAGTGCTGAGTTCGAGGCTGCTGATCTAGCCTTCGTTCCACCACCGCCTGAGGTCCCACCGGTCCCGTTCGTGGGAGTAACCATGAAAGGTGGCGCAGAAGAATGTGAGGTCCCGGCGCAAGGGCAGTACCCTCCGCCTGAGCAGTTCCACCCCTTCGCCTTCCTGCGGTTCCCTACCAGAGAGTGGGAAAGCGTTGCCGACTTCACCGTGGCTTCGCGAAGGAGCCAGAAGGCGGTCACCCACGAGGAGGTCACCAGCTGGGGAGGGATGGACCCCAAGCAGCTCGCCAGGCTAGCCTCCGCTCACTGCATGGTGGTAATTGGCTACTTTTTTCTTCTTTTCCCTTCTTCTCCTTCTTTTTTCTTTTTTGACCTCGGCCTTTTGCTGGCAGGTGAACTCCGCCATTCACGCCATGGCCCTCCAGATCAACATTCACTCCGGCGACGCTCTCGCTCAGAGGTCAACCATGCAGAAGCTCCAGGGCAAGCTCGACCGAGCCCGAGGTGAAGTCCTTCAAGCTCGAAAGGGGAGCGAGGCCCAGGAGCTGCTCGTCCGGGACCAGGAAGCACATATCGCCCGACTGTCCGAGGAGAGCGCTCGCTACCAGGAGGATTAGTTGAGGGTGATAGTGGAGAGGGAGCTCCTTCTCTAGCAGGTCCAGGACTTGGAGTCCATGTTTCAAGATCGGACTCGAAACTTTGACGCCATGGTGGAGGCTAAGTGAGCTAAGGCGGTGTGGGACTTCAAGGACTCCCAGGAGTACCACGACCTCCAGGTGGAGTATGACTCGAGCTTCTACCGTTCTGGATTCAAATTCTGTCACTGGTTGGTCCGGAAGAAGTTCTTCGGGCTCAACCTTGAGGGCATAACGATGAAGGGTCTAGATCCAGAGACGGCGGACTTGACGGAGGAGGAGGAACCTGACTCTCCGGAGGACGACGAGGATGTGGAGGTGGCGGATCCTTGAGGCTGGTTGCTCTTGTTTTTCTTTCTTCTTGGATGTATTTTGAAGTGGTTGTTCCCAAGTGTCTGAACTTGGTTTTATATATTTCATCTTTTGATGAACTCTCTCGGGCTGTTAGGCCCTGTTTTTTATTTGTTTTCTGATGAACTTTTCTCGGGCTGTTTGGCCCAGTTTTTTTTTTATTTATAAGTACTAGTAGTTTTTATTTTTTCCTGCTAAGTGTTGTGTGCTCTTTACTTTTTGCCAAAGCGACTTTACTCGAGCTGTTAGAGCTACATACAGGAAGTAGGATCTTTCGGTAGTTGTTACCCCGAGCTGTTCCTCCATACTTGGGGTAGC